ATAGAAACTTACGTCAATGGATAGAGGAACATGTGCCCTTTGATTGTCATCACGTTTATCACATTTCAACCATTTTGAAACATTTTAGCATGTTTAGAGTAAAATATGGGGATCACACTGTGCGCTGAAGTGTCTCGGTAAGGTGTGAACAAAGAAGAGTAGGACTAATCTAGTCTTCTTTCGCAGGTATTTCTAAGGCTTCAGCTTAAATATGGACAGGAATATTATATCAATGGACAGAGAAATATTTACTGTCTCCGAAGATATCAAGATCAGCCCATTTTGACCGTTTCAGAATATTTACTGTAAACTTGGCTATAGAGACATGTAGCGGCAGAGGCAGACCGACTACCGTGTGTACAAAGCGAAAACGAACGAAATAGGAAGCATGTCTAAGGAAAACTCTGATCCCCATGTCTGTTCTGTTGCAAAATGGCATGAAATTTTCTTTTTGGATAACAAACATATAGCCTTTCCAAAGACTCCAGGATCAGCCTATCTCTTGACAATTTAATATCGGATATAAAGACAACGTGGCGTGTATTTTACGTGTGTAGCATGCAAAACCAAAAAAATACTAAGCCTTTTTGTTTAATGTTTCCAAATATCGAAATAAAAATTTCTCCAGTGGATAGTGAAATGTGTATCCTTGTCGAGTCACACCAAGCTCACCCATTCAGACCATTTGTCAACCTACTTAACCTCCGAGATAAAAAACTCTCCGACCAAAAGAGACCAACTAACGTGTGTACAATGAGGGAAACACTTTCATTTATTCGGCACTTTTCATGAAAAAGAACAGAACAACATTAAACAAAACACATGACACATAATACACTGAAATCACAAACACAAACATTACTAATGCCCGGAGAGAAAACAGTTCATCCAATAACTGTCACCCGTAAGACTTTCATTTCTGAAGCTCCAGGTTTTACATAATCGTGCACACACATACACAATAAAATAAAAGCACAAGATTCAANAGATTTAGACAATCTGTAGACGTTTTATGGTCGAACATATGGAGCTGTATTTGCGCGGGATGGGGAACAGTAATGTGAGGACGAATGTAAAAATTCACAAAAACAGCAAGCAGTCCGAGAGGAACTTGCCTTGAAGTCTTTCTCCCATATTTCCCTTAACACACCAAAGATAGATATAAAACATATCAATTATAAGATCATGCGCCCTTTCTGATTGTGGTAAGATTGCTGGATTTGGACAATCTTCACACCTGTTATGTTCGAATATATACATAGAACCATCTTTGTGCAGGAAGAGGACTGCTAAAGTGTGGACAAAGGGGAAAAGTCACAAATCTGGCAAGCAGTTACTGATCTCTTGCCTTCTTTTTTCGTGTATTTCCCCAATAACTAGAAATATTAAACCTATGTCATCTGATGAAGGAAAGTGTGCCCTTTCATATGTCGCTGAGACTGTTAGATTTGAAGCATTTTAGACCTGTAATGCCCGGGTATAGGGAGCCATCTTTACTCTTTAGAGGACCGGGAAATTGAACAAAAGTAGCAAGCATCAGGACCTTTATGCTCAAATATTGAGCCATGTGCGCAGGAAGAGGATCAGACGAGTGTGCACAAAGGGAGAATTGCACAGAAATAACAAGCAGTGAGACATGAACTCTTGCCTTATTCGATGGGTATTTCCCCAACAATAACAAATTTGGATCTGAAACTTCGACTAATGGATAGAGGAATACATGTATGTACTATTTCAAATGCTGCCATGAATGACACATTTGGACAAATTTCTTAACTGTTGTGCTCGAATATAATGGAGCCATTCTCTGCTCAGAAAGAGGCAATAGTCCGGCCAGTGGACGAAAGGGGGGGGCATGCCCCAGCCACACAGAATTTTGTTCCCTAAAAACACTTCACAAGTGTGTGGGAAAGAGAGTTATGGGTGTATCAGCACCGATACCCTAAGAAAACAACACCACGACATGAAAACAAGGATGTCACGACCGTCACGCTTCTGAAAGTTCTTCCCCAAAATCATGCTGAATAAGCCCGAAACTGTATTCAGTTTTGACCCCCCCCCCAACGCCAAAGCTGGATATGCTGCTGGGAAGAGGACCAGTAAAGTGCGGACAAAGGACAAATCGCAAAAACACAGGAAACACTAGCTCTGACAAGAACTCTTGCCTTGTTCAGCATATATGAATAGAAACTTACATCAATGGATAGAGTAACATGTGCCCTTTGATTGTCATCACGTTTATCACATTTCAACCATTTTGAAACATTTTATCATGTTTAGGGTAAAATATGGGGATCACACTGTGCGCTGAAGTGTCTCGGTAAGGTGTGAACAAAGAAGAGTGGGACTAATCTAGTCTTCTTTCGCAGGTATTTCCAAGGCTTCAGCTTAAATATTGACAGGAAAATTATATCAACGGACAGAGAAATATTTACTGTCTCCGAAGATATCAAGATCAGCCTTTTTGACCGTTTCAGAATATTTACTGTAAACTTGGCTATAGAGACATGTAGCGGCAGATGCAGACCGACTACGCGTGTACAAAGCGAAAACGAACGAAATAGGGAGCATGTCCAAAAAAAACTCTGACCCCCATGTCTGTTCTGTTCTGCAAAATGGCACGAAATTGTCTTTTTGGATAACAAACATATAACCTTTCCACAGACTCCAGGATCAGCCTATCTCTTGACAATTTAATATCGGATATAAAGACAACGTGGCGTGTATTTGACGTGTGTAGCATGCAAAACCAAAACAAATACGAAGCCTTTTTGTTAAATGTTTCCAAATATCAAAATAAAAATTTCTCCAGTGGATAAGGAAATGTGTATCCTTGTCGAGTCACACCAAGCTCACCTATTCGGACCATTTGTCAACCTACTTAACCTCCGAGATAAAAAAAACTCTTCGACCAAAAGAGACCAACTAACGTGTGTACAATGAGGGAAACACTTTCATTTATTCGGCATTTTTCATGAAAAAGAACAGAACATTATTAAACAAAACACATGACATATAATACACTGAAATCACAAACACAAACATTACGAATGCCCGGAGAGAAAACAGTTAATCCAA